TTATCTCTGACTCCAGCATCTGCAGTTCTTACTCTCTCTAGGATATTTGTTCATATCTTCTACATTGTTCATCATTGCTTTTGGTTTCTCACCTTTTGTTTGATCAGGTATCTACTAAAACTCACTTTCACATCTGTGTCTTCTTCCTCAGCAGATCTCTGGCTCCAGCTTCCTACAAACCCATTCAAAGTGAAATACTGGCCTTCACGTTGTCCTGATTAAAGGATTCCGTGCATGCCAGGTATTTTTGCACTATCAAGCATTGCCCTTGGAATATAGCAAGATTTGGAGAATGTTTAGAGGATGTGCAGAGTAGAACAAGCTGCTGGAAGGAGAGGCAGGAGAGAAGGACTTTAAATCACCAGGAACTCATATGCCTAGAATTTTCAGCAAAATACTCTCCTACCTAAACATCAGCAACATATATGGAGTCTATATGCTCTAATAATGGTAACTTCACTGAAATTTGTCATCTGCTGCAGCCATTAGAACAGGTTTAGGACTGTATTGCCCATGGCTGTTAAAGTGACACTAGTGATAATCTTTTTAATGGATCAGCTTCTTTCCAGGTAGGAACTGGAGATATTTGCAATATTTTACAGTTTGCTGTCCATTATTCCATAAGAAAGTCATGGGGGTTCTTTATTCATTGAGGGCTTACTGCATTCCATTCTTTTTTGCCAGGAGAAATAGGCAGAGTAAACATGTGATTTTCTGAAGATTACCGACTGCGGCTTGTCATTGACTACATGCCTACCACAATGAAGATACTGCATACAAACCCTGAGATGTTCCACAACTGAATGGAATTCCACTCTTTCTGTGATCAACTGGTGTGTACTCAAATGCAGAGAGGATGCAATTTAATGTTAAGTTTGAGACCTGATTAATAGAGATCATTGATATGTGATTGATAGGGGTGTTGTGCAATGAACAGTTGTTGAGTCAAGTCCAATGGTTGGAAATGATAAAGCTTTTGAAGATGCACTCACTCACCTTGACCACCTATGTGAGGTCATTAAAGTTTTTGTAGCGCTACATCCAGCTCTTTGGGACTTGCATACTGGCTTTGACAGCTGCGGTTACCACTACCTTTTGGGAGTTTCTCTGGTGAGCCTCCATTCCTCTTATGGATAAAACATATCTTTCCTCCTCTGTACCTCCTTGACCAAGGCTTCTGGCATAACTTCAGAAAATCTCACAGCCTCCTCTTCCCATGTGTTACCATCATACAATGTGATCTGATAGAGGCTATTAAAATTATAGAATTTGCTTGATAGAGTGGACATGGAGAAAACATTTCCACTTGCACAGGAAACCAGTTCAAGAAGCTACTGATATAAGATAATCATTAACAAATCCAACCTGGAATTCAGGAGCAACTTCTTTATTGCAGAGAAATTAGAATTCAGAACTCATCACAATAAAGAATTATTGAGGTGACTAGCATCAATGTATTTAAAGAGAAGCTAGATATGTATATGAGGGAGAAAGGAACAGAAAAATAAGTTGTTTGGGTTAGACAAGGAGAAGGGTTGAGGAGGTTCATGAACTGCATTGATATGAATATAGACATGTTGGGCCAAATGGTCTATTTCTCAGCTGTAAATACTATGTAATAATCAAGCCAATTGAGACAAATTATGGCATCTTTGCTATGACTTCAGCAATGTTTAGTCAGTTAAGTATAGATAGGGAATAGACTCTGAACCTTCCTGAGCTCTGTAGCTAGGTTTAACAATAGGCAAGGCATTTACTAACTGCATCATCAGGTGGATATCAAACAAGCAAATTTTGTTCTGGAACGGCTGATTGTAGCAGTTTTGGATGTAATCCTCCAGTGACGACATTATAAAACCACTTGGCAGTCATCTTATAGATAAGCATTGCAACAATTTTCTGAACCTCATGTGACCTCAAGACTTAAGATCCCAGTTCAAAGAAGACTTGTGCCTTTGATGATATTGACTGGTTCATCTGCTTGATCCTACCACCCTGAAAAGTTAAGAATCTCTGTTTTATAAACCTATTCTTTTGGATAAGAGCCGCAAAAGAGAGCCCCATGCTCTTTTCCTGTGGTTTTCATTTCCTAACTTTAAGGCCTTTTGAGGCCTGGGAGCACTAATTTGAACTGCTGCTCTTATCAGAATTCAGAGAGAAGCAGCCTCAAAATTCCCAAGCTGCTGCAGATCTGAAATTGCAAAGAGAAATTGTAGACAGGCACCAGGAAGTCTGAGGATGGAGATTAAAATTCTCTTCATATTATAATAAGTGCTGCGCCCTTTGTGAAGCCACAGAACATACTCACTTTAATTGAGGAAATGGATTAAATTAGAAATGTCTAATTTACTACACTGGAATCTGATAGTCTCTGAGCCACAAGATTAGTACAGAAAATAGCTCTATTATTTCCTGTTAGTAAAAAATATCTGTGTGATTCTAAATGAAAGATCTGAACACAACTGGGTACCGAGGTACAAAATTCCAGAGGCCTGAGAGATCACTCATCTGCACAAAGTGGAGAAGGCATATCTATTTTCTCATACCAAAATCGATTGCTTAGCCTTCAATACTGGTATGTTGCAGTGTGCTTATTACACATTGTATATTACAGTTATTTTTAAAGCTCATGTTTTTCTATCAGACACAGGAATTAGCTTAATATTATTTAGCCATAGGAAGATGCTGAATTGGACACTGTTAGCTATTATTGATGACCTTCACAAATGCAGATTTTCAAATTTACATATATATCCTTTTTAAAGTTCTCCATTTAGCTGGCTTGTATTATACCAACAAAAACACAGGAACCACTTTTTAATAATAATTGGTGGAACATTGTGGGCTTTGGTGAGATTTGTGGCAAGATCACATTAGAAGTCTACCAAAGCCTATCTCAATATTGGGAGCAACTCGCTGCAGCTTTTATGCATCTTCAAGTAAGCAGTGGTTAATTAAGGAGGATAATGCTTTGTTAAACACCTTATTAATGCTATTGCTCACCTAATTAATATTCAGTTTCCCATCTTACCAAATGTGCTGAACAAACTAGATGTTGAGAAATATCGACATGAAAGTCAGATCAGGTATCTGACGACTTCAGCTCGCTGCTTGCTCCAAAGAACCTGCATCTGGATCGTAGATCATAAAATCCCTACAGTGTAGAAGCACGCGATTTGACCCATTGAGTCCACACTGTCTCTCCAAAGAGCATCCCACCCAGACCCACCCTATCCCTGTAACCCTGCATTTCCTATGGCTAACCCAACTAGCCTGCACGTCCACAGACACTATGGGCAATTTAGCATGGCTAATCCACCTAGCCTGCACATCTTTGGATTGTAGGAGGAAACTAGAGCACCCAGAGGAAACTCACGCAGACACGGGGAGAATATGAAAACTTCACACAGATAGTCGCCTGAGGCTGGAATCAAACCCGGGTCCCTGCTGCTGTGAAGTAGCAGAGCTAACCACTGAGCCAACATGCTGCATCTTGGACACCAGACTCCGGCATCTGAGGCCGTACTCTATGGACGCTAGCCACATGCTTCCCACATCCATGGATATTTACATCTCACTTATGCCAGCCTCTAAGAACACCCATGGCACATCTCCGATCCACTTACAGGACATTTCTGTACTTCAGTGCAGCACCTCGGCCTGCACCAGGAACTACGTCGTACTGTTGTAGTAAGGATACCATGTGCTCAAGGACGCGCGCTTAGCTCATGGACTGGAACAGGCTGCACCTCCGAGCTCTTTGCTTGCTCTCATAGCACACACTCACTCTGAGCCTACATGAATTTTCACAGGGTTCCTGCCTTATATTGCCTTTTTCTGCTTTGTCCCCTCAGCTGGGGACACCGGGCTACCAACATAGCTGTCTTGCCTTGCCATTTAGTACAGACATAAAGGCAGGACATCTGTCATGGTTGTCAGCAGCTTTTGTTCAGGGGGTTCTGCCCCAGTAAGTTGGGGACAGCGTCTGATACCAGTCCAGGGGCTTTGATACAGTCAGTCAGCCACTTGAGGCTGTCAGAGTCAGAATCCTGTTCACAGAAGGAGTGAGTAGCTGAATGTTGTGAATCCCACCACCCATCTGGATGCTTTCTGCCCTGTCATGGATGGCTTTCATCCTGGAACGAAGGAGAGAGAGAGGTATTAAGCGAGATGAAAGTGGGCGGCACAGCTTTTTGTTTTGGTGAGAAGGATGTCTTAAGAATGAGTGAGTAGGCAGTGCACAGGGCTTGCTGGTTTAGTGGAGTTGGCAGTTGTTTGGGTGACATTGAGTGAAGGAAGATGTTGTAGGCAAAAGTGAGAGTGGCAGAGAATGAGCCTTGGTGGGAGGTAGGCACGGTAGCAGAGATAGAGTGAGTGTGAGATATCGGAGAGAAGGTAGTGACGGAGAGGAGAATGCCATTGAATTTCTTCCTATGTTGCTGTGCATTCCTCCAAGTGGCTGAGACAGCACAGACCTAGGTGACGATCTCAAACCAGGCTGGTATGATCTGTGTTGTGGCTGCTGTACTGGTCCTGCATGACCTCCAGGGACCTGCTTGCAAATTGGGGCACTAAATATCCCTTGTCTGCCATGTCTGGGTTAAATGTCACAAACCATGCAGGGCAGCTCTGGACTGATGTTGCTTGTCTGGATGCATAGCAGCCTTTTACTGATGGCACGGGCTCCAGGGATACTGGTCAATTCCAGGATAACCCAGCAATGGCAAGTTGTTCCAATAACAGCGTGTAGAATAGTGGTGTCAGAATTGGACATGAAGACACCATATGGATAAGGTATATAGTTGTTAATGCAATTTGGTAAGATATGCCAAGCAAATACATGAGGCCTCACAGTGAAAAACCCTCCAAAAACTTACTGTAACTGGCACTTAACTAAAACCACATAAGATTCAGCCCAAAATTTCTTTCAAGTTCCAAGCCACCTTCAAACCACAATTTTCCTTGCTTTTTCCATGATTGGAGCTATAAACTATAGTTTGCACAAAAAATGATAATAGTTATAGCTCCATTCCAAAGTGTTTTTTTTTTAAAAGAGAGGCTGGTCATAGTAATTTCTGATCTAGAAGTTTGAATATCTGCACTGCTTTATCTATATTGTTACAAACGACAAGCATGAGACTAAAGCAAAAATGTTAAATGGTGTCCTTCTATTACCAAATAGTTAAAGTAACAGTGTAAATTTTTCAATATTGTTTAAATACTATACATTTTCTTAGATCCTCAGTCCAAACTTCAATAATGCTAGAAGCCTTTAAAAAAGCTTTTTTTTCATATTAATCCTTTTAACCGCTGATTCCTTTTGAGATTATTTTGGGTCCTTATACAAAGATGCAGCTGTTTGAAATACCTTATCTGGTGTGTTAAGCCAATATTGCCATCTGCATATTGAGATACTGTGCAGGACTATCTCTGGGTGTTTGCACATGAACTATCCTTGAGGCTGCTTTCTCCTCATTTCTAAAAAAGGCTTTTCATCTCCATAGATATCAAAGTGTGGAGCTGGAGGAATGTAGCAGGCCAGGCAGCATCAGAGGAACAGGAAAGCTGATGTTTCAGGTCGGGACCCTTCTTCAGAAAAAATCATTTAATGTGATTTTCTACTCAAGGTTTTAAAGGCATGTTGGTAATTTCACTTGTGAGTGGCAAAAGGCCTGTTTGCATACATTAACAAGCTCATTTACACCTAATCTCACCTCATTTAGATGCAATTTTCCATTTTACTAGCCAATGGAGAGAAATTAGATGGAGACAATTCCCAACATGCAAGGTCACCGCTAATTCCCCTGGTCAGCATTCCCCATCATCCCAGGGTACAGTCTATGCCTGCTCCTTCATCCAACTTCACCATATCATCATGGCATATTATCAATTTACCTGGAATACAGACCACCACTCTGAAGCTGCATTTTGAAATGCATCGACACCTTACATTACAATGCTGGGGCCAGGTCATATCGCGCACAGGGACAAGCACAAAACTCACGAAATGGGACAGGGGCATCTCAGGACTCTTAGCTTGCTTTCTTATCATTCACTCACTTTGTGGTCACATGAATGCTCACTGCAACTCTGCCTTGCTTTGCATTTTCGGACACAAAGCCAGGCTAGTCATTATCAGTCAAGGGAGTGGACAGGCTGGTGCACGGTACCGTGCTATGTCAATATCATACCTACAGCATGCACCAGCAGCTTACGTGGAAAGCACACTGCAGTGCTTCAACAAATGGCCATGTCACAAAGTCTAAGGTGAGTAGTCCTCAATCAAGTCAAGGGGGCTGTCATCAGCCAGGGTCGTACCACAGTCAGTCAGGGGCATTATCTGATCTCAGTCTAGGGCTCACTCATGATCAGTCAACCACTGGGACAGTCAGGGTTAGGAGCCCCTTATCATTAAAATTCAGGGAATGGGCCATGGTTAGTCATACAGGTCTCATGCATCCTGTAGATTAGCAATAAGTCAGTTGGGAAGCTGCTCTGAGATCAGTCAGAGGGTCTGTTCACTCACCAGTCTGGCTATCATTCCAAGTTGGTCAGGTGAGTTGGTCAACTCCGATCACTGAAAGTCAAGGTGGGTTATCAGGGGCAACTGCTGTGGTGGACAAGTTGGGGAAGACAGTGAGAGATTGGAGACAGCATGCTGGGATTCAGAGGGGAAATAATTGGGAGGTGGGACAACTCAACATATAAAGGTGGGAAGTGCATCATGATGGTTGACATATTTAAGGTGTTTGTCTGGGGCTCGGGAGAACATTGGGAGATAAAAATATAAATGAATCAGGTGAATGGGAGCATGGATGCTCAGGACTGGTGGTGTTGGCAGGAAGTGTAAGGAAGAAAAGGAAAATGAAAATTTTGGGAAGGTCCCTGACACTATTATGCTGAATCTGCAACTCACAAAGCAAAGTGTGACTTGTGTTGTCTTCCATCCTCATTTGAATCATTAATGCATAATGAAAGGAAAACTGGCTGCCACCACACCCAGAGTGGGTGGAGTAATTGTCTTTCGTTTGTAAAGATGTGGCTCTACATGTGAGCAATGTGAGGCCCTTCAAAGGGCAATTATATTAGTCAGGCACTAACACAGCAAAGGTTTAAGATACCTAATCACAGAATTCTGCATGCAAATTGCACACAATGACCATTGATGCTTAATCCAAATCCTCGTGATAAGAAATCTTGACCATGTCATTAATCATTACAGATTGATTATAGTTATCTCTAAAGGGAAAGTAATCTCAGGTGACCTTAATTCATTTGTGTGTGATGTGAATGCTAACTGCTCACATGACGAAGGATTTATTCTGTTTATGATATTCCCTGCACAGGTTCACTGGAAGCATGACCAATGGATCTAGCCACAGTGTACCAGAGGTGCATATAAACTGAGAATCAACATTTGTCCCATTATGCCCAAGACCAGCAGCAGCCAAGCATCCTCCATATGAAGAAGTCCCAGCTGAAGGTCCCCTCAGGATGTGGAGCTGGTACAGGAGGCTCCCGTCCTTGATTCCAATTCCTCCAGATGAGTGAGGTGCAGTGCCGCTACAGATTGACTCTATTGTGTCTTGGATCAGGACTTGAGAACTGCAAATGAGAGTTAGGCTTTTAGTTATGTTGATTTCAAAAGAATGGAGGCGGTGATGGGATCAGGGGACATGGGTGGTAGAGGGGTGGGGGTGTTTTTTGTTGATCAATCTGTTGTTGTACAACATTTTTTTTGTAACCATTTAAAATCTTCACTTGTTCCTTCTGCATTCAATAGGATAATAACTTTGGATTGAGTACAGAAGAGCAGTGATTTGAGAATCCTGTTACTGTTGCAAAAAGATCATTAAGACTGAAAATAAATCACATTTTCACTTTCTGGAATTGTAATATTTAGCCACAGTTACACCTATTGCCTGTACTGGGACGAGGTCTTTGAGGACCTGTTCTTGAGTATGCCTGAGTTCAAAGTAGACAGAAAAGAGTTAACCTACAGATTTGCTTTCACATTATGCCTTTTATGACCTCAGAATTTCATCAATCACTTTGCAAACAATGGAGCATTTTTGAAGTATAATGAATGTAGCTATGCAGAAACACAGCTCTTAATTTGCATATAGTAAAGTCTTGCAAAGAATAAATTGAAATGAATTTAGTTCATCTAATCTACTCATGCTGGCCAAAGAATCAACACTGCAGGAGTTAACATTTCTTTGACTTGAAAAGTACCATAGGAGTTTCTAATATATCTGAACAAACCAATGGATATTTGTTTAATGTCCTTTCTGAAACTGTTATTTTCAATCAGATGATGTAGGGCAGAATAGGAAGCGTTTATTATTCCAAACTGTTTACACTACCTGCTCTGGACTTTAATTTGACCAGGGTATACATTTAGGATTGTCATATACTTGGAAATACATAAATGGACTCAATGACCAGAAATTATACCAATAAACAGCGTCAGTACATAACTTGACTGAAAGCATAAAACCAAGAAATCAACAATGATTAGTGATCAAAAAATTAAAATAAGCTGAATCAATGAAATTATTAAAAATCAAAAAAAGTAATTTGGACACCATCATGTGTGTCACTGAAATGAGAAGCAAAAATACAATTAACATTACCAACAAATTGTGCTTTTTGAGTTATGTGTGTCTGATTATTCTTTCTTCAGAGCTTGTGTCTTTTAGTGTTTAAGTTCATACTTTTGACTACAAGAAATTAAAGTATCATGCCTGTGAGCTCTGCCCCTTCATCACTTGTGGGTTGATTTTTAGTCAAAGTTAAAATAACTGGAATTATACTTCTGGATAAAATATCTGATTACATTGAAATCTTCAACTGCCTAATTTCCTCAAAAAATGCTACTTAGATATTACAGGACAAACTAAGTAGTCCTGTTCTCCTAGACAACAAGGTGCAGGGCTGGATGAACACAGCAGGCCAAGCAGCATCATAGGAGCAGAGAGGCTGACGTTTCGGGC